TGTATTTTATCCATTGAGCTTCTCCTTTCACCACTGGGCAGGGATCATAGCTGCTTGTGCAGAATGGATGGGCCTACGGGGAATTGAGTGATTCAGTAGTTGTATAAAGCTTTCATCGTAACTCCCTTTCAGGCACAACCAGAACTCGCTAGGGGCAGAAGCTTACATGGACTTTGATTCTTTTGTCTGATAAGAGCTGTGCTATTTTGGGGGCACAGGGTTTTCCAATACCTATATTCCTAACATGATCTTCTCCAGTCAGTACACCTGTCCTTTCCAGATATTTTTGGATTTACAATGTCATTGTTTTTATGAAGTAAAAATGAAACCTCATTTTTGTTATGCATTTCAACAAATCATTTGAATTAGAAGGAATTAAATTCTATGAAACTAAGATTGTTTAAAAGTCCATGGCATGAATTGTTAACTTCTTGGGTGCTCTGTTACTCTTCCAGATAAGAATAAAGAAGTAGTGCTGTCTGCCATGCTGGAAAATTTCTATTCAGCTTTCAAGTCACCCAACTTCATTTGCTCAACCTCAATTTAAGAGGCAAGGAGAAGAAAGCAAGACATGTCATGTGTTATTTTTCCAACCAGAGAGTGGTAATGGTAGGATGTGATGCTTTCTTACTATGGAAAGAGAAAAAATTAATCATTTTTACAGTGGTTCTGTACTAATTTAAACCCAAAAGCATTTTGCTCTGGCCTCTCTGATTTTGGCATTTAAAATCTGTGTACAGCATTGTGTGGGGAAATTCAATTGACATGCCACATGTTGGTTTGCATTTAACTCATTACAATATTGATTGCTAAGAACACTTACAGGACCAAGGAGATATCCAAGCCTTTTAAGTGGTCACATGACAACCAGGCCAGAAGCTTGAGTTGGGGCAATATTAGACAGATATTAAATCTCAGCTATCTTTTGCAATTTAGAAGATATAATTCCCCAGGAGCCACTTTCAGCAAGAAGTTTGACCAGAGCCCACAAAACAGTCATTAAGGAGAAAAGAGTGATTCAGATCTGGGAAAATATTCCACACCAGTGAATTTCCAATGGTGCTGATCCACTTTCATCTTTTCTATGGTGGGAAAAATCATGTTTATGATTATTTTCTTATTTAATGAGTATAAAAGTACTTGAGATCAAAGTACTAAATGTTGTTAGTAGTTATAACAAGCAATTTTTAAAGCAAGTATGAAGAAAAATAGTTGTGAGGAACTTTCATTTCTTAGACATTCTGTCTAGAAGAAGAATGGGTTTTGGCTTTATGATTAATTTATTCATTTAGAAAAAAATGACAAGTACCATGACCAGGTTAGCTACATTCCTATTTACTCTACTTTAAAAAAAATACTTATATACTTCTGATTTCAAATAGAAAAACAGTATGAACAAACAGCCCCTGAAAGTGTCAGGATTCTGACTTATAATGATTTATATGATGAATGTGCATGACACATTGCAGGTAAAAAGAAAATGTCTCATGAATATCTACTAATCCTCCTTCTTAGCTGTCCATTTCCAAGCAGATCTCAGTCCTTGAGAGCCAAGGACAAGTGAGGGAAAATTGGTGTATATTTGTTCAAGTCTCCCCTCAACGGATCTCTGGTTATCTGTTTTGAAACTGTCTCATTGTTATTCGTTTCTCAATAAAGTTAGTAAAAAAAAATTAATTCCAATAAGGAAAAGTGGATGTCTGAGGAGTGAGATTTTAAGGTCAGGCAGCGAGTGAAAACATCACTCCTGAGTCCACAGCTACCCTTGTCACAGCTGCCTAAGCCTTCATTGGCATGGCAGCCTTCCCATCCACCGGCTTTTCACTTCTTTCTCTTGTCTTTTTTTTTTAATCTTCTCTTAATGACATTGAGAAGTTTATTTATATATATACATTTCATTTAGTCACAACACATGTTAGTCCTAGGGTAACTTTCTCATGTGTGGTGTATGTTAATTTTTCCGGCTTCTCAAGTCTTCTCTAAAAATTTACTCCATGGACTATAAATGTAATATTTACAATGGAATAAGCTGATGATAACGGTAAAGACATCATACTGTGAGGGCTGATGCATCCTTGGGAGGGGCCATGCACAAAGCCCCCCCATGTCTTACAACTCCAGGCCACTCCCCTTGTGTGGTATTGTATGTGGATGGCTCCCCAGAGTGGAGCAAGCCATAGGTCCATGTATTCCTGCATTCATTCATTCATTCATTCATTCATTCATCCATCCATCCATCCATCCATCCATCCATCCATCCATCCATCCATTAATTCAGAATATCCTTAGTGAGGTGAAAGTTAGCTCTAGCTAACAGGAAGCTCCAGATGCTGCACATGGTTCTGAGGGCTGGAGATACAGCAACAAACAGAGTGAATGATAATCCCTCAGCATACAGAGCCTGAAATCCTGTCCTTTGCTTATTTTTTTGGAAAGAGAAAAAAAAATGCCCTGCCATCCAAACAAAATGTAGTTGTATACAGAATTTAGCCCAAGGGCCACCAATGAATGGCTCCTCCTTTAACCTTTAAATTATTTCTGTGATCTTGCAGGTTTTGGCCACAGGGACAAAATATAGCAATAGACTGACCACAGATTTACACCCACTGCTTAGTGCATGCTTAATGAGAGCTCTGTGTACAGAAAAAATGCAGCTAATGAATTTTCAATTAAAATTTTACACTCCTTCCCAGGGTCTACACTGACCACTCCTTTTTTTTTTTTTTTTTTTCTAAGAATATTTATTTATTAGAGGTGATTTGTTAGGTATGGGAAGAGGAAAA